CACACACACACACACACACACATCCACACACAAACGCGCGCGTGCGAGCCGAATGACTTGTTCGTTTTATTTTAAGAAAGAGACGCGAATCGACATAAATATGGTCATTTTGTGCTGGAAAAAAGTAAGAGAGACAGACAGACAGATAGAAACAAAAAAGTGAAAGAAAAGTAGTAAGATCGAGATCTATCAATGGCGGTCTTCAACCTTCCGACTCTCACACCAGAAAACACAAAAAATATAATCAATAATAATAGCACTGTATTCATAATAATATACCTCATATCCACTCTCTGCAGGCTGTTTGCTTTACAACCATTACTACACAAGGAGACCCTAGAGCACTCAGAAACATTAGGGGCTTCGCGGAAAGCATACAGTGCAATAGAATCGCATTCATAATGTAAAATATCCATTTTTCAAATATCTTTACACGTAATCTTTTGACATTTTCTCAAGGGTCCCATCCCCTTCATTAGATTTTTTTCTGGTAGGTGTTTTACGGCACTCGCAACTGTATAAGTTCATTTGAGCGGGCCAGGCTTATTGAACTTATTTAGTTGGAACGAAAGTTTGAATTTTGCCCGCGTGGCGGCTGAAGCCTACTCTTATCGATTTTAGACCACCAAGGGATCTTTAACGTGTGCTTCTTTCATTCGGGACCTACGGGATTGTTCGCCCTTGTCCAAGAGGGCTAGGTGTAGATCTTTCCTACAAGAAGGTCAGAGGTGTGGCTGAAAGACAGATGTAAGAAGGAGCAAAGTAGTAACAGTAGAAAGGCTGCAGAAAGAGCCAGGAGCCCAGAGGAGGCGGCAAAGGAAGTGAGGGGGTGGAGACAGGAAGAGGAGATGAAAGCAGACGACAAAACATTGCTAGAGATCAGGAAAGGAGGTGAAAGGAGACAATTTTAGAGATGAATTTGTTTTTCTTTCAGATTTGAACCCGGGACCTTTGAATGAGAGGCCAACATCTTAAACTCCAGGCCATTAGAGCCTCCTCTGTAGATTATACAGATAAGACGATGTGGTTTTTCTCACCTGAAGTCCGGTTTCAGATAGAAGATGACGCCGTCTAAAGCACCCGGCAATGTTGCGCCTTTGATGAGAAGGATAGTCAGCAAAATGTACGGAAGTGTGGCTGTCACGTACACAACCTAGTAATGGCCAAAAAGTGAATGTTTTAGTCAAAACTAAGCGCCGATTGTGTTACATCGAGAAACATTCAAATCAACTTTCTGAAAACGAACTAACAGCGTCTGTCGTCTACCGCTTATGCTCTTCGCTGTCGCACGCAGGAGATTCGAGCTCGATTATCGAATGGGGATAATTTTTATCGAGTATCTCGCTCTTTCTGTTGGGATGCTGTAACCCACTCAGCCTAGGTCGGTCCTGACAGGCAGGCTCGGAATCCCGCCTCCTAAATGATTTATTTTTTCGAGGAGCGCTTAAAATTGCCTACGTTTAACGAAAATAGATAAATAGAAAGCGAACTATTTGCCAGGAGACCACTCACAGGGGTGAAATGATGGTAATGATATAAACGTAGTCACTAACTTTGGTAAATAATAAAATAAGGAACACGAAAAAGAAATATTCAGAACCAACTCCAAATGCAGAGCGGGTAAAGTACATCTGAGGGTATTGTACTTTCCAACGTTTGTTCAAATTTTGTAGAGTTTGAATGATAAGGTAAGATTCGACTACTTCATTTCCGAAAAACCATTGTTTTGTGTAACGAAACTCGAAACAGCTACACCACTGACTCCGGGATTTGAAATTTCTATCTAAACACCAGCAAAAACACAAAAACTAATATTCATTAGGAACATGTCGCAGCTTGTTTGATATGCATGCTTATGAGCCGGAGATCAGCATTGCATAACAGAATATTCTAGGCCGGGAAACAATAGGCTGAACATGGCTATTGAGAACAGAAGAACAGGGCATTAAAACAGCAATCAGCAGAACATGAAGAAGTAGGAAAAGTTCGTTCAACTAATTATGTCTGTCCTCATTTAGTTCGGGGTTTTTTGTGTTGTTCTTTGTTGTTCTGTTTTGGAGTTTTTGTGTTTGCGTTTTCTAAATTGTCAGGTTGCTGTATTAATTAGTCAAGTCGCTGAAGCTAGAGGCCACGGAATTTGAGGAAGAGGGAGAGAGGAAAACTGAGAGCAAGATAGAGAGAGAGATAGAGGGAGAGATAGAGAGAGAGAGAGATAGAGACAGAGATAGAGACAGAGACAGAGAGAGATAGAGAGAGAGATAGAAAGAGAGAGAGAGAGAGTGTGTGTGTGTGTGTGTGTGTGTATGTGTGTGTGTGTGTGTGTACGTGTGTGTGTGTGTGTGTGTGTGTGTGTGTGTGTGTGTGTGTTTGTGTTTCCAAGTGGCATAAGGCCCGCATATTTCTTTTATCCTTAGGAATTGCTTTCAAATTAGAATTTTGTTAGCTTGAGAATGTGTTTGTTTGTGTGTGGAAGGGAATAGGTGGGTGTAAGTAAGTATGGGTATGTCTGACAGGGAGAGACAACAGAGAGAGAGAGAGACAGAGAGAGAGAGAGAGAGCGAGAGAGAGAGAGAGCGAGAACGAGAGAGCGAGAGAGAGAGAGCAGGAGAGGGAGAGGGAGTAAAAGAGATACACAGACAGTGAGCTAGAGAGAAAAAGGGAGAAAGTGAGTGAGAAAGAGCTAGAAAGAGAGAGAAAGAAGGATATAATATATATAAAGAGAGAGAGAGAGAGAGAGAGAGAGAGAGAGAGAGAGAGAGAGAGACAGAGAGAGACAGAGAGAGACAGAGAGAGACAGAGAGAAAGTAAAAAGAGAATAAGACAAATTATATTGTTTTGTATACTGTATTTCTTTGTCCTTTGTTGGTATCTCAGGGTCAGCTTGAACGTTTTAAAGCATCTCATTGTACCAGCACCGCACTCCCCACAAACAATTGCCATTCTCACCTAATTTTGATTTCTCTCTAGTGAAATACCTGTCATAGTATCATAATTTTCAGAACTACCCACGAGGACACATTTATTATGCCATTTGTTGAAAGGTCACTTTCGGGCCATGTGTTGGGTATTTCTCAAGACGCAGTGAAGAATTGCTTGATTTCTTTTTTTTTTTTTTATAAATAGTTCATAAATAATTGCAAAGTTTGAACAAATAAAATACACACACACATACATTTTTGTCCTTTATGTGATCAAAAAGTTACGTTTTAAAGTGAACCGGAAAAAAAGTCAAAATACATGGTCCAGGATTTTAAAATGCAAGCCTATACCACCACGTAAAGACCTACGGCGGTCAGTTGGGGCCTGAGCCTAGAGAAATTATGTGTCACGACCCAGTGGAATCAGGTGCTCGTCAAATTTTAGGCATGCAGAGATTGGTATAATTTTAAATCTTGTGCGTTTTTCTTCCTTCCGATGAAAAAAAATCCTTCCATCTTGATTAGAAGTAAAGATATTTGCGATTGAAGAAGGCGGGGGTCACCTGGATACAGAGATAATGTTATCGAAAAAATGGACTCTAAAGTTTTGTGACTCCATAGCTTGAGTGGCCTTGCAAACTGAAAATTTGCAATTTTTTATGTTTTTAAGTCAATGTTCTTCAGTGAAAATTCACTCAAAATGTGTTTTTGAATGGATATTGGGTATTGAGCCAAAAATAAAACATTCTCCAAAAATGCCAGTTTCTCCGATTTCACAAATTTGACAAGTGCCAGATTTCACCACGCTGCGTCACAAATGTGTAGTTATATATTATTAACCTGTGCATGGCCAACCAACTAAACGCCTATGCAGTATAATTTTATCTTGGTACAAACCTTGCCGGCAGAGTGTACTCCCTTGATGACGCACAAATAAACCATGACCGCCTGGGCCAACAGAGCGACACCAGATTGCCAGGGGATGCCGCCAATGTCAGTAGTTCCGGAGGACAGTTGGAGGACATTGTGGCTGCAGAAGAGATGATTCGGGGAGAAAAAAAAATAAAAAACAAGACCGGAATCGATTATGACGTCTTCTAACTTCACATTTTACTTTTTCCGGCATACTTTACCTTTGTCATGACGCAGTGGAATCAGGCGCTGGTCAATGTATGTGCATGTAGATTTATTTGTCACTTAAAAGCTGATTTATTTGCCTTGCTTTCAATAAAATAAATAACATCCATTTATCTTGAAAAGAAATCAAGATCTCAAGATATTTGCGATTGAAGGAAGTGAGGTCATCAGGTTCCAGCGGGAAAGTTAGCGAGAAAATGGTCGCCAAAGTTTGGTAACTCCAATAGCTAAAGAGTCATTAAAACAGACAAATGAAATATTGTGTGCCTTTAACAAATGTTTTCCAGTAAAATTCACGTCGAAATGTGTGTTCACATGGACATAAAGGGGTTGGGACCAAAAATAAAAGTTCGGTTAAAAATGTCCAAACTTTCGGGAGGATGCCTGTTTCTTCAATTTCTGCATTTTGACGAGCGCCTGATTTCATCATGCAGTGTCACACATTTTGGTGTCAAGAGGAGAAGCCATCGTACTTGTGTTGTTTGTCTATCACCAGTTGTATGGTTATTTGTTCTAATCTAAAGTTTCTCTGACCCTTTTTCGATTTTTCACTGGGCTTATATCCCCCTTTGTAAATACCGGATCTCTGGATGTATGCTTTTATTGCTGGACTGTCTGGAGGTAGTATAACAATTATGTATTATCCAAACCATTGTATCCGTTTGTTTACTTATGTACTACAAAAAGGGAGTCAAGCCACTTGTTTTTTTGACAATCTCGCTCCTCGCCTAGTCTATTCTTGTGATCTTTAATGTTGTTCTGAGTTGTTTCTTGTCACAGGCGTTTTATATGCTTAGGCGACCTCTTCACTATCTATTTTGGGCTTGGTAGAACAACATTGGTACAAAGATGCTGAACAAAAGTTTGCGCTTTGTTTCTGTTGTGATGTTTGAGCGTGAAAGTAATGGTGCCGGTTAGTAAGTTACAGCATAGGTCTTTTTTATTCTGGTTTCTATTCCTCTGTTCAGCTTGGCTGAACATACTTCGCAGGTATTTGCACTCTTCTACTTGTTTAATTTTGCTGTCGTCGACTATGATGTTTATTTGGCCTGCTATTTTGCTGATTTCCTTTGTTTAGTGCGTTTACGTAATATTTGTAGTCTTCTAGTTGACTTTTAGTTGTCTCGAATCGTCTGCAGAAAGAAATCCATTGATTGTGTTTTGTTGGTAATTATCAAATCATATTCAACGATTAATCCTGGAAGTAGCTCGCCATTTTCGTTGCACTGAGTTTCAGGGTCGGTATGTTGTCCTTTTAGTCCTTCTCAAGAAAGTCCTCATATCGTCTTCTTGAAAAAGATATAATTGAACCTTTAAAATACCCAAGTATTCAGGTAGATGGATATATCGATAGATAGATAGATAGATAGATAGATAGATAGATAGATAGATAGATAGATAGATAGAAACTGAACCTTACATCCAAAACTCCTCGCTAGAGCTGACACTGTCGTTTCTCATGCTGATCTGTGTGGAATTCATTAGTATATTGCTTCCCAGTAAATCTGCAGTCCCGTTTCCGTAAGACATAGCAAAGCTGGTGAGATTGCCGGCAATCCCATCTACCGTTGTGTTTTCGCCTCTATTACCAACCCTCTGTTCCTGTGGCGTCATGCATTTGTCCGTGTTCCACCATTGGCCGCATTGCGTCCATGGCAATGTTGCTTGAAAACAGTTGACGAGGTAGATAAGGGTCCAGGCAACAATCATCGAATAGTACCAGGCACAGATCAAAGATATCATATTCATAGCGATTCCAAGACCTGAAAGCAAACAACAAAAACAAAACTACTAACATACTAACAAACAAAAAAAATCGACGTACGGTATCCTAAGTGAAATTCTCAGAACGCGTAGGTAACTTCATAGAAAGGATTTTTTAAATTAACCAACAAAGCTTTGCTTCCTTCTATTGTTTTACATTTTACTCTTTTAAATCGCTTGATGGTAATATCTTTTCTGTTGATCAGAGCTTTGTGATCTGATTGTGGTCGACAGGGCTACTACGATACTATTTGTATGTTTATTCCGGATTTACATGTCTTTAAGAGTTACAGAAGAGGCACTCATGAGTTGTGCTTTTCTTATTAATTAAATGTATGGCTTTTATTGGTTAATCTTTTATTTCATTTGTCCCTTATTCTCCTCTACTAATAACTTTTAGGGTAGTTTTTAACTTACATTTTGGCTTCTTAGTCTTCAGGCGTTATGAAGGCGTTATTTTCTATGGCGTAGACTCAAAGTTCAAAACTGGTGTTACATGTAAATTTAAATGCGTGTTCAATATTTATTAGAATTCTGAATTGACATGAAAATATGTATTATTCTTTAAAGAAAGCTTTAACTCTACATCGTTCTAAACATGTAATAACAGGCAACTACCTTTAGACAACGGGCAAATATTCCAGACATGAAAGGTGCTCAGGCTGACAAACTGCCCCATTGCAACTTCCATGAAATAAAGCGGCAGTCCACATACCGTCAAGCAGACAATAAATGGAATCAGGAAGGCTCCTGCGAAAGACACAGGAAAATGAAAAATAGCTGCTATTTTAAAGGTCAGTTTTAGATACAGTCCATCATTGAGGAGAAAAGTGACTGTAATGGACAGGTGGCCGTCTTTTTTTCTTTCTTTTGTTTTGTTTTTGTTTTGTTTTGTTGTTGTTGGTTGTTTTTTTGTTTTTTTTGGGGGGGGGGGGTTACGACGCTCGCCAATGCATTCGGTCATATTAGCGTCGGGACACATTAAACATTTCCAAAAGGCAGGAAAGTTTGAATTTTGCTCGGATGGCGGTGGAAGGCTTCTCTTATCGATTTTAGACCATCAAGGGATCTTTAACGTGCACAATTTGCACACGGGACCTCCAAAATTGTTTGCCATTGTCCAAGAAGGCTAGGTGTAGATCTTTCCTACGAGAAAATCAGGGGTGTGGCTGAAAGAGATCAGTAAAAAGAAGCAAAGAAGTAGCAGTAGAAAGGCTGCAGAAAGAGTCAGGAGCCCATAGGAGGGGGCAATGGAGGATAAGGGGTGGAGGGCAGACAATAGCAGACGACAGAATAGTGTTAGAGAGCAGAAAAGGAGGGGAAAGGAGACAATTTTAAAGCAGAAATTTTCCCGTCACTACCTAGATTTGAACATGGGACCTTTGAATGAGAGGCAAACACCTTAACCTCTGGGCCATGAGAGCCCCAATGTGGCCGTCTTACATAGTGTCATTATAACAACAACAGAAAATACACAATGAGAAAATGCAAAGTATATGTTTGTTTAGGCAGCCGTTAGTGCAGGTTTGATAGTATTCTCATTACAGTTCTGAAAAAGGCTTGCTTGGTATTTACTATAACATTAAATTAATACATTGTATGCTTACCCTTAAAACAGAAGACGTAAACGATTGTTGCAGAGCATTAAAACAGCATCTAGACATAGAAAGATGGTTCGACTAAAACTAAATCAATGATTGGAATGGTAAGGTGCGATGATGAATCAAGTAAATATTTGTGGTGCAACAAAAGCTCTTAGTTACCAGTAGCAAAGTCTGTCTGTTGGGACATTGTATTCCTCTCAGGTATGGTATCACCGACAGGCAATGTAGTGGCAGCCCACTTCTTGAAAAATATCAATTAATTGGATAAGGACGTAAATTATTTACTAAAAAAGACTTGATGTAGGTGTTTTGTGCCCCCCTCAAAATACTTTTGATCATTTAGGACGTGGGCTTCCGACCCTTCATGCCAGGGCCAACCCGGGCTGAGAAGGATACAACATCAAAGCTGGAAGGTCAAGCTACTCGATAAAAATATTATCTCCACTTGAGAATCGAACTCAGGTCTCCTGTGTGCAACAACGATCCGCTTAGCCTGCATTGCATCACAGACACCAGTAAAACATTTACAGTTACAAATTCCAGTTAAAGACATATTAATGATTGTTGGATAATTACTACTTACCTCCTCCGTTCCTCATACACACGTAGGGAAAACGCCACACGTTGCCAAGTCCGACGCAGAATCCAATCATGGACAAGATGTACTCGACTTTCCTCCCCCACTTGTCCCTTGAGACAACGCCATCATCTTCTGAACTGGCTTCGTTTTCATAAAGTTCTCTTTCCTCCGTTGTTGGGCGCCCGGTAGGTATTTCATTCTCACGATCAACAGTTGCTCTTTTGGTATCGTTATCTACGATAACATCGTGTAAAGGTACACTCTCAGGATGGTGAACATACCTTCCATTACTAGATGTGACCTCTGAGTTCCTATCCGAGTCTAAAGTGTCCAGTATTAGTGTGTAATTATTGGGGTATGAAGAAGCGCTGGACTTGGCCATGGTGAAGGAAGCCCTGGCAATAATACTTTTTCACGAGAGGCCTTTTCAGGTCTCAAATCTCTTGTTGAGCTTGGTAACCCGTGGCGTCGATACCCAATAGTAGTACGCCTTTGACAAAGTCAACTTCAATAAATGAAATTATTGAAGGTCAGGATGGTAGGTTGAAAGGGTAGAAAGTGTTTTGTCTAAGTAAATGCAAAAAATACCTATGGTAATATTGCTGCAATCATATTACTATTAAAAAGTTCACCCTTTCTTCAGCAATATACTTTAGTAAAACTTGTTACTCTATAGAGTGTTTTGTTGTTTACTCTATAATGTGAATTAAGATGAAAGGAAATTGAATTTAAGAGTTCTGCTTGATTTAGCAAAGGTCCTATTCATCTCACTAAAGACACAGGTCCAACATCAGGTGAACTAGCTGATACACTTGCGAGACGGGGATCTAGACAGGAACAGCTCATCATTTCAAGTTCATACAACACTTCAAAACAAAAGTTTCAAAACGAACAGGATTAAAGGAACAGATGAGCCTTGGGAGCGACATCAATACGAAATGACAACATAAGTAAGCTTCTGAGAGAAGGACAGACGGCGATCGTACGCCTGCAAAAAGAGAACATAATTATATAACTCCACTTTAACTTACACAGAATAAAACCAGAACTTCCCCCCAACGTGTCCTTCTTGTGACTGCGCGTATGAGACTAGACTGCACGCCTATATGGCATGAGAACTGTACTTTTACCTCCGAAACCTAACACAGACCACACACTCAATGGAACATTAAGCAACTGCAGCAAACCTGCACTGTTCATTATATACCATTGGACAGAGGCACTATTGTTAGATCGAAAACAATAATAGTGACAACGACAACAACAACAACAACAACAGTAGTATGGGATAAACGCGAGAGTTTTTTGCACAAGCTGAACGCCATGCCTCGCATGAGAACATCACTACAATAGCGATTACATGCCGGTGCACTTATATTCCATTTAAAAAAGCTTTTTTATTTTCAATTCTGTTCGAGTCAAAGGCAAGGTTTAATTTGTATAAAAATTAGTTTTAGAAAACAATTCAGTACGAACCATCTGCAACATCGATTTTTACCCCTCATCTTGGCCATAGTTATTTTGCTGCAGCGGTCATAACATTCTGAGTACCGACATCTTATGCAAATTCGGGATTCGAACAAGCTGAAATTTGAATGCTTAACAATTCACTTTCTGAAATAGCGACAGTTCCCATGTCACATGAACCTTAGAGAAAGGCATTTGGGATCTAATTAATTAATTATTCTTTATAGCTCAGTTTTACTACGACTTAATTTTTCTTATCAGGGCGGATATGGCCGTAGAATGTGAAAAAAAAATTACACTGTTCAAAACAATGCTGCTCGTTCAGTTTTACAGAACAAAACTTCGTCACTCTGCAGCACTTATTTTACGGACACTGCACTGGCGTCCTGTTGAGGAAAATAATTTATTACATGAGTAAAGTTGTGGTGTAGGCTAAGATCATGATTTATCTTAAGAGTGAAATTGCCAATTTGTAATCACGAGTTACAACGAGTGATTACAGCTGGCCATTCACAAGTAGGATAAATCATGGTCTAACACGATAACGAATGTGGCAAACTTTTTATACCCTACTGGTATCAGCTGGCGAAATATACCCGTGCAAGAAAAGTTCGAATGGTTAGCCAATTGGACAAGAGGATCCATTCTAGAGTCTCACATGAAAACAAAATTTGCATGCCCGTCGGAGTCAGATTGAGAATTGAAAAAAAATCTGGATTGTTTTTCTTTACTTTCAGCCACGTTAATACAAGTTGTGCTATCTGTGTATCTCCCTCAGCGAAACAAACCCCAAGCAAAACAATCATAACGTAATATAAGCAAAGTAAGCAGAAAACGTACAATTCAAAAGTTGAAAGAAAGTGTATAAATATGGCATGTTGTTGTTAGAATAGAGATGACTTTGATTTTGATTTTAAACTTCGTAACCAAAACAAACCAAAGGCAAGGACTTGTTCTCTAGATCTAGATCTAGAATCTAAATCTGATCTAGCGCATTGCATTGTTACATTGGCCAAAGATGAAAAAAGGCTTTTTAGCAACAAAAGTTGTCAAGTTATTTGGAAACTGATGTTATTACACTCGTTATGGTGTTAGACCATGATTTATCCTACTTGTGAAATTGCCTGTTGTAATCACTCGTTGAAAGTCGTGATTACAACTTGGCAATTTCAATCGTAGGACAAATCATGATCTTACACCACACCTCATGTAATAAATTCTTTATGTACTAGTTTGCGAATCTTTTTGGCTTTTGGTAGGTGTTTTACGGCGCTCGCAACTGCATGAGGTCATATGAGCGTGCTGGACACATAAAACATTTTCAGCTCGGTACAAATTTTGATTTTTTCTCAGGTGGCGATCAAACCTTCTTTTAACGACTTTTGGACCACCAAGGGATCTTTAACGGCGCAACTTGCACCCGGGACCTCCGGGATTTTTTTTACCATATCCGAGAAGGCTAGGTGCAGATCTTATCTACCATAAGATTGGGGTGTGGCTGAAAGACAGCAGTAAGAAAGCGCCAAGGAGTAGCAGTAGAAAGGCTGCAGAAAGAGTCAACAGACAAGAGGATGGGGACAAAGGAGAAGGGGGGAGAGGGCAGAAATTGGAGACGAAAGCAGACTACAGGACGCAGTTTTAGAGCTGGTAAAAGGATTTTAAGGAGAACATTTTAGAGAAAAACATTGTTCGTCGTAGTCACGTTTCGAACCTGGGACCTTTTGAATAAAAGGCGAACACCGTTATCCCCAGACCACGAGAGCCTCCAATTTAGCCTCTCAGTGTCACAAATTATGTTTGAATAATAATGTGTCCTCACATTATTCTGTTGAAACTTTACATTCCAATTTCAGGCGATAAAAAGAAGATTCTTTTATTATCTTAAAAAAAATAGTGAAGAGGTATAGGTTTAACGCCCATTGTCAACACTATTAGGTTATTTAACTTTTAAGAGGGTGGGGGGGGGAGGCTACACCCCCAAAGTCAAAATTCGGCTCAAAATTATGGAATTTGAGTTGTAGGCATTTTTAGCTTCCTCAGCCTGTCCTACAACTATTTCATTGCATAAGAACCCCAAAAACCGTACTTTTTCCCATAAGGGCATGTTTGTCACCGCTAATTCCTCATAAAGTCAGTATTTTATTTTTCTTTATCGGCTGTTTTCTCAAAACGCAACTTTTCTCTATACCTTTTTGAATAACTTCACCATTTTTCATCCACTCTATTTGAAATTTTCACAGAATGAAGAGAAGATGTCATGCTAAACATTTGTCTGTTGAATTTTGGTTATTTGGAATATATTTTTGTTCGTGTTGTCTGGAGTGTTGATTTTCACGGATTTTTTGCAAACTTTAATGCTACCTTGAAAAAATTCAATAAAAATTGTCTAATTTGTTTAAGAAAAAAAACAACAGTTGAACTTCTAGATCTAAGGTTTGTGAACATACATGCAAAACAACAATAAATTTCAATAAGCGATAAGTGCGGTATTCATTACCTAAGACATGTCAACAAAATTCAATATGGTCGCCGTATCCATGGAAACGAAACTTTTTTCTCAAACTTGATTGCCGATTTTAGGACTCCCTACCATGCTTGTTATGTGTGTGAAATTTGGTAAAATTCGGTCCAGTAATATGCGAGATAGCCCTCGGGTGTAGCCCCCCTCCCCTTAAGAGGAGGGACCTTTGAGTTTAACGTCCAACGTTGAAAGGACAGAGCCAAATGGGAAATTCATGTAAAGTGCCTTTCCAAAGGACGCAACGTCGGACCGAGCTCGGACCCAGAATCCGCAATCTCACGATTGCGAGTCCGGTAGCCTAGCACGACGCTACTTTCACCATATATGAAACGTTAAACAATAGGTGAACAGACATTAGATCTAATTGTATATCACATGCGCAAAATCAGGAAAACCTTGCACAGTACAATACACCGTAGCTGGAGGGAGATGAAATCTTTTTATTCAATAAAATATAGCAATTGTAATTTTTTTTAAATATTATTTTTATTAACGACATAAACATTGTTATAGATCTATATAGATGAATAATTAGTCAGAGCACAGTGTATTGTTTGTGTGTTACTGATGTATTGTAAAGCACTCAGAGGCTGTATATTTTAATCGGCTTTGAGTGCTAAACAATTGTCATATAAATGCAAAACTATGTTATTACTTTATACATGAAAAGGTGCGATATTTTGAAAAAGAGCTAATTTCGCATTTATACGCCTCCCAACGACACACGTTCGGACCGAACTATCCAGGAACTGATATTACGTGTTTTATGGTGAAAAATCTAGAATACAGTCTTGATTAACCTGCACCTATGGCTCTTGAACTTGCAACCGTTATGTCGTGGGTTTGAATCCCATCGGGGCCGGACGTTGTGTCCTTGGGAAAGGCACTTTTAAACATCTTTTCCTCTCTTCATCCAAATAGGAATGGATACGTGGGTACAGACGTGCCGAAAGATATCAGTTTTTTTAGTGTCTGAGCGTATGCAACCCACAGTTTGCACTGCACACTTCTTGGGAAGCCGATAAATTTCTGAGTGTTCTACGGTATTCTTGTGTGATAACACTTATAAAGCTCATAGAACATGCTGTAAAGTGTTGCGACGAGGTTTGCTTATTAGATTCTCTTCAGTTGAAAAGAGAAGTTCTTGAAAATACAGGGTGATCAACAACAACAAATTTTCAACTTTTTTTCTGAATACCTCACCCAAAATGTGTACTAGAATGTTGTAATTTGGACCACATATAACTAGTTTAATGGGAAGTTGTTTGACATAAGATTCTTAAAGAAGAAATTTGCTTTCGAAAATGAAAATGGCTTTTATAAAAACCACATATAAACTCAAAACGCACCAATTTAAAGGATCTTGTAAGGAGAGTCATGAAATGATTGGTTAGTTTTTTTCCCTTCCTTTTCTTTTAAAAATATATTCTTTCCATTCCTGTAACATTCAAACAATATTTACAGAGTTAGAATATTTTTTTAAATTCTTGAAATCCGAGAACCAGTGCTGTAATGTTCACTTGTGGCCAAACATAAGGATCCACTCAACTTTGAGCACTCAAAGTTACACACATTACTGTATATCTCACAATATGGAGTTGTTTCTAGAAACAAAAGGAGGAGAGGGAGGTTGCTTAAATAGACAGCATTTGTGCAGTTAATATATCCTGAAAGGTGAATATGGGTTGTTCCAAGAATCAAATGTCATAGAGGATATGCTCACTCTTTTCAAGACAAGCGAGGAATCATGAACACATTGCTATTCTCTTATCCAATATCAACACAAAAAAGCAAAGAGTTTAATTCGTTTTAAAGAATAACCTTTAATTTTAATTCCGTTTGACTTGTACTCTTGAGATTAGAAATACTATTTATTGATGTTTTCCCTTTTTTGTTCTGGGGGACTTTAAAAAATTCATTGTCGAATCTACTCTTACGGACACCTGGCCAAGACAATGACATGCATAATCAATCACTTCCCAGTAGCCCCTTTGTGCTTTCTTAAATATTATTTTGACACTGTCGAAGAGTTCCCCTGTTTAAGACAACCACATTTTCCGTGTGTGTATGTTTGTGTGTGTGTGTGTGTGTGTGTGTGTGTGTGTGTGTGTTAGTGTGTTTGTGTGTGTGTGTGAGAGAGAGAGAGAGAGAGAGAGAGAAAGAGGGAGAGAGACAGCGAGAGATAGAGAATGAGAGAGAGATTAAATTATGTGTATTGTTATAATAATAATGTAGTTTCACAATGTACATTTTGTGTATTTTTATTTATCAATTATGTTGAAATAATATTGTGAGATTGTACACACAGCCCTCTAGCGACTAGGCAGTGTATAAATTCACATTAGAAGAACGCATATTGCAAATCAGCAGAAAAAAACAGGTTTATTTTCTAACATAGACCAAAATAAAACAAACAAAAAGTTATATCATTTGCTTTTGGGTGAGGCAGATTTTTTAATGTGTCATAAAAACAAATTAGAACAATATTAGAGTTGTGGAACCAGGGTTAATTTATAATTCTCATCTTTATGCACAACAAAGATTTTTCAATACGCTAGTCGATATTTTTGTAGGTCCAGATTGATGATCCTGTTGACGACATTGCTAGGAAATATAGGCCTAATTACACAAACTTACCCTAACACCCCTCTCTCTCTGTCTCTCTCTCTCGTTCTTTCTTTCTTTCTCTCTCTCTCTTTCTTTCTCTCTCTCTCTCTCTCTCTCTCTCTTTCTTTCTTTCTCTCTCTCTCTCTCTCTCTCTCTCTCTCTCACTCCCTCTCTCTCACACATTCTCCCTTTCTAGCTCTCTCTCTTTCTCTCTCTTTCTTTTTCTCTCTCTAGTTCTCGTTCTCTTTCTTTGTGTCTCTCTCTCTCTCTCTTTCTCTCCCTCTCTCTTTTTTCTCTCTCTCCCCCTCTCTCTCTTTATCTCTCTTCTTCTTCTTCTTCTTCTGGCTGGCCACCGTCAGGAGGGCGGCAGTCTGCCGCAGGCAGACAGGTAGGCGGCAACCTCTTGTGGCCTCGTCCAGAGTACATCTGGGCCCGGTCTCGCGTTGTTCTCCATAAGTGGGCGTCGATGTGCTTCCCCCCGCGGGCACTCATACAGTGCGTGCTGCAGGTCGTCAGGACTTGTGCCACACGCCAGACAGGAATCATTGGGAGCGGAGCTTATTGCATGGAAATATGTCTGTAGGATGGGGCTCTTTGCGTTGCATCTTAGCTGCGATAACACTCTTCTCTGTCTGACGGTAAGGTCCTTCTCTTTGTCCCTCTCCGGTGGTGGCTTCACCTTTCCCCCGACGGAGTCGTGCACTCACACTTTCTCCCATGCGTGGGCAATGATGTAACGCGAGATGCACGAGCTTGCTGACGCAATATCGACTGGAGTGTTGGACTGATCAAGGCGGCCTCCCTTGCTGGCCAGGGCGTCAGCTCTGTCGTTCCCGTAGATGTCGCAATGTCCTGGTATCCATTGTATGTGAAGGTGTCCGTGGATTTCATGGCATTGACAGATAGTGATCCACATTTTGTCCTCTATCTCAGTACGAACTGCAGTCACTCCGGACATTAAGTGTTGAACAACTGACAGGGAGTCTGTGAAGATGTGGATTCTTTGAAAACGTGGTTGTTTTTCTAGCCATTGCAGTGCGCGGAGCAGGGCGGTAGTTTCAGCTCGGTAGCTGCTTCCGTATAGTCCCGCGGGCACGGATACGCATGTTTCCTCCCCAGAAGATTTGTCTAAACACCAGTATCCTCCTCCACATAACCTGTAGCCGTCGGTGGCATGGCCGTCAGTGAAGATATCGAGGTCGGACGTAGGCAATCGGCACAGTCTCGAGAGCTGCTTCACGTCGCATAGTAGGTGGATCTGTTTTTGTCGTAGACACTACAAGTTTTGAGTTGATTGTGAGGTTGCAAGGGGTCTTCCATGGGGGAGTTGTACTCACTGGCCGCAGGGGTTCTCGGATTAGATGTTCTAGTCCTGCGTTATTAGAGCTCTGTCGGCCCACTTCCCTCCAACTGTTGATGGACTTTAAGCGTATTTTTGATGTTCCTTCAGCTGAGGCACGGATCGGGTTGTCTTCTGGGACTCTTCTTGCTCTCTCGTATGCCACAGCAGTTGCAATGGTAGACTTAACCTCAAGTGGGATCAGGCCAGCTTCGTTTGTGAGCAGCATTGCAATTGAGTCTCTCGTGCACCCGGTAATTATTCTGGCTGACGATTTTTGAACAACATTTAAGGTCTCACGATTTGTTTTCGCCATTGATGGGAACCAGGCTGCGTGGGCATACTGGATGGCTGATCTGATGTACGCGATGTACACCATACGTAGATCTTTTTTGCTGCATCGCCAGTCTGTGCCGGAGAGCCTGCGGAGGAGATTGACTCGTGGGGCCAGTTTTTTTTTATATTTATTTATATGTTCTTTAAATGTTAACTTGCAATCAAAGGTCACGCCAAGGAAGGTAGGTGTTTTGTTATAGGGCACCTCCTCATCTCCATTGCAAGCTGAGTGCGCCAGGACATTTCACGGTTCCATGTCGTGAAAAAAGAGTATTCGCATTTCGCCACGTTAATTTCCATCTTCCAGCGTTTTGACCAATCGAAGATCTTGTCCAGAGCGGCTTGAACCATCGTTGCGGCAGTGTCAAGATTTTACTGCAGTCATTATTGGGACCTCTACGCGGTGCTGCAGACCCCGGAACAGGTACAGCTCCGGGCCGAACGCCAATCAACCCCTGGATTCAGACAGGAACGGAGGCGACCGAGTTTTTGTCCGGAGGCTCAGCCGAACCGGCTGATCTGAGTCTCCTGTTAATAATGGCCGGTGACGTCGAAATCAACCCTGGACCTGATGAGATGTACCCATGCACAATATGCACCAGGAACGTGACCAATCGGGGTTATTCGATCCGATGCACCACCTGTGCCAAATGGATACACAGCAAATGCAGTGGTCTATCAATCCCAGAAATTCGACGTCTCTCCCACAACCACGCATGGACTTGCCCGGTCTGCTCCATGCTGTCCCCTATCCGAATCAGCTCCCTTACCTCTCTCTCTCTCTCTGTCTCTCTGTCTCTCTCTCTCTCTCTCTCTCTCTCTCTCTCTCTCTCTGACTATCTATCTCTCTATCTATCAATTTTTCTATCCATCTATCCATCTATATCTTTCTTTATCTATCTATCTATCTATCTATCTATCTACCTGTCTATTTGTATGTCTGTTTTTCTGTCTGTATAACTGTTTCAATATTTGCGCATTAGACCAAAAATTATAAATGTTCTGTTTAAAAGCTCGTAGAAATATATACAGTTCCTCTCTATGAAATCTAATACAATTTAAAAAGTCGAGAAAAAATACTGAGTTATGTGAATTTTTAAAAAACAAACAACTAAGTCTGTCAAAAATAATACCCACGTACTAGCTCCAATTTTACAACAACATTAATTAAAATAACAAAGTGGAAAATCAACTACGTTATTTACAAATCAAATTAAACATAAGCCA